TTCCCCCCTTCCCTGTCCAAACTTCCAGCGCTAACTGGCGGAACGGACGGGGGAGGGAGCGGGTACAGCTGGCTCTGCCTCCATATAGGCAGAGCCAGCTGTCACTGACGCAGCTGGGCGGATCCAGACATAATTGTCGAGATCCCTTTCAGCTGCAGCGTCTCAGTATACCGCAAGCTACACTGAGCTTTGGGAGACAGGAGGACGCTAGTTTGTGTCCTCCCGTTACCCTTAGGAGAACTATGGGGAAAAGCCCTGACCCCATAGTTCTCTTTAATGTACTTGTCTTTGACTGCAAGGGTTAAACACTCCCTGCATTACATCTCTCACCCTCATTTTTCCTTAGTCCTCTCACACATGGAACAAATATGTCTTATGTAGCCAATGACCTCTCAGTGTTTCTTCTAGACACTTATCTGTGCTACTGCACACTCACACCAGTCTTCCCCACTGTAGAGCCCAATGCTAGCACCCATTGGTCACATTTATGAATTTATTAATATTGTCCTTGCTTATTATAGGGCTGTGTAAGCCTTGTGACTGAAAGGTGGAAAAGAATAAAAACTGACAGCGATGAGTAAAAACACACAGCACACTTGTCATGTTAACCCTTAGAAGATTATTTTTTTTTAAATACTGCTATAAAATAATGCTGTTGTAACACAAAAAACATATAATAATGTATTGCTGTTGTTGTTGTATTATAGATTCTTTAGTTAAACATTTTACATGTTCTGAGGCATCATGCACACATACATGTGCTTGAGGCCTTAGAACATGTACAAATGTACATGGAATGATTACCTGCAAATTGAGATATATGCTTGTCCCTGGACACAATATGTCTGCATCCAGGGACAAGCATATATCCTGATCGCAAGTAACTGTTCCATGTACAATAACAGTGGGCAGCCATGGACAGATGCAGCCACTGTTAGCCTGTCATTCACTTGAATGGGCACGGTGGTTGCATCCATATGGACCCACCTGGGGTTATTGCCGCAAGAATCTGCAGGTTCTTTCCGAAGATATCCCCAGACGCATATAAAAGCCCCGTGTGAATATAACCTAATCTCATGCAAGGGATACTGCCTACCTAGAGAGTGGCTCTTGCTCTCATTGAGGCATTCATTAGTGCACCTATCTGTTCTGCTTACACAATCTCTATGACTCCTGGGATGCTTATTTTTCTTTCTTAATTTTTTGAGAGGCATGTTGCACAGAATCCTGTGATCATACCGCAAAACACTCTTTGTATCTAGCTACAGTACATGAAACAAAACTCAAATTTAAGAACAACTTTTAGGCAAGAAGCTTTTATATTTTTTGGGAACTCTTCTTTAATTCTTATTGCTGGAACTGAATTTTGTATACATAAAGCTAGTGCAGAGTTGTTTCTTATGCATTTCTCATTAACCTAATCAATCTTATGTTTTTATTAATGCGTTCCGACAGCAGGCAGGTTTTGCTTCCTCGATGTTGGCAGAATAATGCACTCCCAGGGAGACCTGAGTAATGTATTTGCAGAATGAAGGCAGTATAGACAGACACTAGAGACAGCACATTTTGCTGCCATATACTCTGACACCTTTTGTTCCCTGACTGCTCTTGCTTAATAACTCAAGCAAACGACACAAAACCGGCATCATTCTTAGAACTGGCGCTACTTGAACTGTAAGAGAGTAAAATACTTCATTCTCTGAGATTATCAATTGGTCCTGTCTCTACATCTGAGGAATATGTAGCCAAAAAAAGCCCTTGAAGTCTGATAAGTATTCACAAGTCTGTCAGAAGCATTGCCCTTGCATGTGACAGCGTAATTCTCTGTTTGTACAACTTATTGTAATGTAAGTACAACCAATCCACTGGAGACCAGTTCTGTACTATGGGTAGGCTAATTTTTAAAATCTTAAAGTGTATTTTACTTTTGTAGCCAAACTGGGATGACACCTGTTTTATATTTGTTACATATTCACATAGCATAACTTTAAAAAAAATTTGTAAAAATTCTGCTTACCTTTTTAATTGATTGTTTTCTTGCTAGGAAAAACGTAGCTTTTCCTTCTATGTAATGTTCATGAGCAGGCCATGGGGCGTTAGTTTGCCATAATGAATCCTGTCTGTACTGTGCTGGCAGTTTTCATTAGTCACATACTAGATTGGAACACTGTCTGTCCTCAAAGATGTCAAGGCTTGGGTTCTGCCTTGTATGGTAATGTCCCTGTTTGCCCCTTATCTGCACATTACTATCTATTTAAGACCCCTGAAGCTTGCCTATAGTGTCCTATGTATCAATTTGCTCCATGAAAACAGCCTAAAAGGTAAGAAAAATATTTTTTTAAATACTTTTTAGGTATTCTGTGTAAATGGGAACACATAATAAAGATATAGCAGGGTTTCTCAAACTTGACTACAAAGGTGAAACTACACTTTTAGGAAAGCATAGGAACACTTGTTTTGTAGGGGAACCAGTACCCTTTAACAGCATTTTTTGTTCTGGTGCAAGTTTGAAAATAAATAAATAAACATTGGTTACCTGATAACTGTGGGCAGCACCGAGCATATTCCTCTTACAGGTAAGCAAATGAAGCAGTAGGGTGACAAGCTGCTACGGAGATGCATTGTTGTACAGTAGTACAACTGCTTGCTTCTTTGCAAATCACAGCATTGATTTTCTGATGAGTAAAACCTTACTGTAACAAAAATATTAGTGAATGTGATTGCCGCCAATAAACAGTAAAATGAATAAATAAACGCAAACTGGAATAAAATTATTAGTAACATGTTAATAACCAAGAGACTATGAATAGGTAACCTTTAACAGAGTTGACAAGGCTGACAAAAGTTGTAGCTTTAAGAGAATCACTGTTAGGTTTATGCAAGAAATGTAATGTTCAGCCAGAGTACTGATTGCCCAGTCTTGCTTTTTCAAGAGGTGTATTTGCTTTGCTTAGCTTTGTCAGAGCCTGACACCGTAAGTGAAATTGTCACAAACCTGGGCAATTCAAACTGAACATATAATCAAAAATACAGGAGAGGTTACCTTCAGTGAAAACAGCTTGTCGAAATGATTGGCAGATCTAGAGATTTAGGCTCAAAATAGGTCAGATACATTTTTGTTGTTTTTCCAAATATTTGCTGCACAGAAGCCTGCTTTTTTTTGGGATGCACCAAATAGTTCAATTTAAAGTAAAGATGCAACTAATGCACAACCTGCAATAAATAATGGTTCAGAAAATTAGTCTGTCAATATTTGTTGCTGTAGAGGTGTGCAGTAGTGCAGCATGAAGATGATGGAGTGAGACATTTACACATTCCACTATATGCCAAATAAACTACAGTATCTGTTCAGCACCATAATAGTTTTACATTCAGTGCACCAAAGTAAAATGTCACATGTGACAATTTTATATTCATGAAAAACCACCAATCTTAGTTTGTCTGGTCCAGTGTCTCCCAGTTCCTGCAAGCAGATATCTCTGTTACAGGGCCCTGTCATTAAAGTGACACTAAACCCAGGAGTTAAATCTCAAAAAAGGCATTCAAGTAACTTAACTATTAACATTACTGTACCTTATTTGTGTATCACTCGGCTGTAGATCCTCACATCCCCTCTGAATGTGTGCTGACACTGTCCTTCCTTCTGTAGGGTAGCCACCACTCCAAACTCCTTCCCGTGATGGACTACAATGTCACATTTAGTTTACTAATTTGTATTGGGATTGTAGTCCATTACAGGAGGGAGCTTGGAGCGGTGGCTACTTTACAACACACACAGGAACCATGGGGAACAAAAGTAGCCACCCTCAAGAAGGAAAGACAGTGCAAGCACCAATTCAGAGATGCTTTGAGGATCTACAGCTAAGTGATACACAAATAAGGTTAAATTTTTTTATTTACCCTAAGGAGAACTATGGGGAAAAACACTGACCCCATAGTTCTCCTTTAAGAAGGCTCCATGTTTAGTCTCGTCAATGAGAGTACCAAACAAAGGTCTTTAATTAGTCACATGGCAAAAATAAATATCTTTATCTTAACCCCTTCATGACTGAGCTTGTTTTTAGTTTCTGTTCGTAAATGACTGACATACTTTTGACATTTTTGCTGTGTGATTCTTCCACGTCAGTAATATACTTTCTTACATAATTTACACTAAAGTTTTGCTTGAAGGTTGCCTTTTAGCTTATCAAGATCAGAAATCGCAATAAATGAATGTGAAATTATAAACATTTTGTCAAAATGTTTTTATGCTAATGCTAAATTTTCGCGAAATGTGTACTTTTTGAACTATGCTGTAGTTTACCTTTACATGAAGGAAGAAAAGAAGTTGTAGAAAATAGAAAACGGGGGAGTGGCAGAACGGAGGGGGCAAGCAGGAGGTTGTTTGTAGAAGAAGAGATATGAAACGCAAGGGTATCATCAGTGGGAAAGCAGGGACTGCTTTTCTTTAATCACTCATATAGGCTGTTATTTCAGTACATTTTCATTTTTATTTCTGGGATTTCAGTAGAAGTACTATTATATATACATATGCAAGTGTGGGGTTCAAGTGTTTCTTTATGCACTGAAAAGAACTACTTTCCATTGCATTGCTGGTTTGTGCTGTTTGAAAAAATCCCGCTGTGGATTCTCAGATATTTCTATTATGCTTTATTTCGAACACTGAAAGGAGAAGCCGGCCAAGTCTGCAGGTTATGGAATATGTAGCAGAGAAAATCTTTGCCGGTAAAGCTTTTGACACCACTCAGGTTTCTGCTTTAGATATCATGTATTGATCTGCATTTTTCTCTCCTGACAGCTGGCTCCAATTTGTGTACAAGTACAATGCAGTGGAAGTGATAGATTAATAATGAATAATATCTTTCTCTAATCTATGCATATTTCACAACACCAATAAATGCTAATTCTGGCTGTCCATAAGCAGCACAGTTTGATCATCTCTGCTGATTGATTTTCTTTTGTGCCAGTTATGATTTTCTTTCATTTTATTTGTATCACAGTGTCCACCTGTACTTCCTGTTTCCCTGCCTAGAAGAAGGAGGACTGGCCACATATCGAACGGCTATTGTTCAAAATCAGCATCTTGCCATGCTGGCTGAGGTAATAATACCTTTAGAATGTAGTGATTGTGTCCCCGTTTCTCCTCAAAGAGTATTTTCTTTCTGGCAATTCTCTGCTAGCCTCTTCTGTACCCCCCTTCTGCCTTTCCCTGCGCTATTATTAAATATCTACAATGACAGTGGCTACTTCTATTTATGCCATTCAGGTCTATTTACTGCATAATATGCAGCATTTTCTCATCCACAATATTTAATATCCGCAGAATCTCTTTCAAAGTAGGTTCATCTACATTTCAGTGCTTTTGCAATAAAGGTGCTTTCTGCTGAGATAATGGAGAAAAGGGAATGTAAACCTAAGCCCCAAGATGTTAATAATTATTTAAATGAGTCTTTGCACTTCCCACAGTAATAATAAATAAGTTCATAAAATCTATTCACAGCCAAACATTTCTAAGTCAAACCTTAACCGGCTTGTTTCTATGCTGGGAAAATTAGGGGTTGCCAAGATAATTATTACTTTAGAAGAGAGTAAAGGTTCTGAGACTTTTAGCCTTTATTCACACAGTCATGCATTTATCGGACATTTCAAAATAAATGTTATAAATGTATGTGATGATTTTAAATGGTATAATGCACACTGTGCACTTTTATGAATTCAGTTTAGCTGAATTGCAAAAACAAAAATCTGTGCATCCCGGGGCTGATAAGATACTCTGAACTCATCTAAGAGTTAGTTCACACCATATGCGGTCCTGTGCGGTGCGATCAAAATAGTGCTTGCAGCATTTTGATCTCACCGGACCGGGCTGCAGGCACAATGTGCTTTGCGATCCTGTGCGGGCGATTGCATTGCGGCCCGGAGGGCGTGGCTACGGTGCCATTCACTTCAATGGCCCGCCATACCCCCTCCCGCCCGTCAAAAAAGTGAGGTGGCCGCAATTGGATGCAGTGCGTTCCGGCCAGAATCGGACCGAAACACACTGCATATGGTGTGAACTAACCCTTAATGCGTGTAAACGCAGGTACATTTAAATGCACAAGAACGTGATCTGGGAAGTATAAAGTTTGTTGAAACAAAACAAACACAGGAGGTCCATGCAAATAAAGGCTTAGTGGTTATCTTGGCTAAATGAATGACCATTAAAACACATTGGAATCTCCTACATCTTTACCAGTCAGTGAGGAAACTTGAAAGTTTCCTTGTTCATGTTGTGAAATGATAAACACCATGGGACACAAACATGTTTAATGCAACAAATTACGTTTGGAAGCAAGCAGATGAGTCTGTTTGATGTTTACAACTTTCTTGTTATGCAAGTGAGTGGGATAGAATAAAAAGCACTTTGAATACTGGCTTCTGCTTCTACAACAAAGTCCACTGTAGGTCCTTGATCTCAGAAAACATTCTATGATGTCATATGCCATAGAAACATGTTGAAAAGAAAAGTAGGGAATTTGAAATCAAAGGCTAAGAGCAGTATCAATGCAAACTAGAATAGAAAATCACATAGAGGGGACTTGGTGCATTATGACTTGGTAAATGTAGGAGTCATAAGAACCTTTCCTTAAAGCCCAATAGTTAAAAAAAAATATATCAGTTTGAAACAGTTATTCATTCACTACATACATTTTTTTTTTAATGTAACCAGGTTAAGTACCTGAATTTGTTTTGTTATCTCTTCTAATCCGTTATACAGGAGAACACAGACTAGGAAAGAAAGAGTCAGTACTGTGAGCCAGTTAGGCTCTGTTGCATACACATGCTTGAAAAATAGAAAGATACTGAAATTCTTAGGAAACACAAGATGATCTCCTACAACTTCTGTTATTTCATTGTCCAATTCCAGAGTGGGTGTATGGAACTGACCAAGTTCAATTCATTATAAAGAAACTTTGACCCTGAATTGGCAAAGTGGCAGGTTCTCTTGTAAGAAGAACTCCCACAACCATCCTGATAATTGCCTTTACTGCACACCGAAAGAGCAGTGGGGGAGCATGGGGAAGGTATTAGTAGTAGGAGTGTGCTTCTTAGTAAGAAAATCTGTCACTTGTGTCTTGAATAGGGTGCAAGTTAGTTCACCAACCTGACTGTGTTGTCTATCAGGACTGTGTACCGTATATACTCGAGTATAAGCCGTCCCGAATATAAGCCGAGGTACCTAATTTGACCAAAAAAAACTGGGAAAAAGTATTGACCCGAATATAAGCCGAGGGTGGGAAATGAGGCAGCTACTGGTAGATAGATACCAATAAAATTACATTAATATTTATTTAAAAGAAAAATAACCTAGCTCTGTAAGTGGAAAAGGGGGTACAGGGCTACATATCATGTACTACGGATCATTTAACCCATTCATATTAGCAGAGGATATTTGTAAATCTATTGTTCAGTGCACTCTATATGTAGTATATAGTACATGTACATATAGAGTGCCTGCAACAATACATTTACAATGATCCTCTGCTAACATGAATGGGTTAAATGATCCGTAGTACATGATATGTAGCCCTGTACCCCCTTTTCCACTTACAGAGCTAGGTTATTTTTCTTTTAAATAAATATTAATGTAATTTTATTGGTATCTATCTACCAGTAGCTGCCTCATTTCCCACCCTCGGCTTATATTCGGGACGGCTTATACTCGAGTATATACGGTAAGTCTCAGGGCAGGATGGAAATAACTCGTAAGTAAAGACGTTTTTCCACCCCATTGTAGACAGCCCTGGTTGCCAAAGCTACCAAGCACCTTCATACAGGAAGCAGTGGAGTGAGTCACATACTCTCCCATAGCTGGTAGTCCCAGGTATGTCACTTTTCATTTCAGGAGGACACAGCGGCAGGGAAGTAAAGATAGGGGTAAGTAAAATGAGCTGTCATTAAAGTGAACCTGTTGTTTTGGCTTTTGTTTGGCAAACACAGTTCACTATAAAGGACATACAGTGAAATTCGTTTATTATTAAAGAAACAAAACAAAAAAACAGGTGTACATTGCCAGAGTTTTTTGAAAACACTATCTCGAATACCTAAAGCTTCTTTTCCAGACATAATATAAACCCTTTTCTTGCTGACTAGCGTAAAAGGTTTGAAGCTGGAGGATGAAAGCAGAGCTAGCATAGCACAGGTAGTAGAGGAGACATTTCACTTGAGAAAATGGGTAGCTTTGTTGGAAGCTATGGCTTCCAAGGCATTTCATATAGCTTTTATTCAATTTGTACAAAATTTGACTCAAAGCAGCATAAAAACACTCCAGAAAATGTATACAGTAAGTATATTTAGTGATTTATTTATGTGCGGTTTGAGATTTTAAGATTGTATCTTGTCCAAAAAAATGATTTAAGCTTTCACTATTAGCTCAATGTTTTTTTTTTTCCTCTGTAAAGTCATTGAAGCAGATATCCTCAATGGCTATTTTCAATATGTGCTTGTACTGTTCTGTTGCCAGACCCAGTGCAAAAATAACAAAATATTTAAGGCTAGATTCACACTTGTTTGTTCCAGTGTGTGAATTTCAAATGTTTTAGACCTGATTTTAACTGGTTTTACAAAGAAATGTACCACAAACCTATGTCTAAGATAGAAGTGTTTGTCCCAATTAACTCTGTGTAGCTTGACAGCTGTCTTATGACCCCTCCAGCCACCTAATCTCTTATTTATGTTTTTATCGCCTTCTATCCATTGAGATCACTGATATAAGGTCAGCCATAAAGGGATAGGTCTTTTATCAGATTCAGTGAAAGGTCTGTCATGTTCTTGCTACAGTCAACAAAGCCATGAATTTAAACCTGACTCATATTATTCTCATCCTGTCACTGTTCCGCTTATCAGCTTTTATAGAGATTTTCAGTTGTGCTTTAAAGTCAATTTAAAGAACACCCTTAAGCACTTTTAAAATCTTAACTAGTAACATACTCCAATTTGTTTCTTGATTGTACATTACAGGACACAGACAGTTGACCCTTCAACAGATGGCTTGTGCAGCTACCTTCCAGTGATTGGACACTGGGAAATATTCAAAGCTTTAAGACAGCCCTGTATAACTCTCCACCCACTCCCAACCTGCCTCAGTATCTTGCTAGTGTCCTTAAGTGATGGCTGCCTTCTCTCTGCTTTTAGAGAAGTACATTCTGTTCCTGCATTGGTCAGTCTGAAAGGCCACACAGCGCCTGTGCAGCCTCTCTCTGGGAACTACTAAAGCACATGTGCCTGCCATTTTTCTTTTTGGTGCTAGGTTACAAAAGTTGTTTTGCTGCTACTGCTCTGCATGTTTAGTGAATCCAGATCCTACAGACCGCTACACTTGGTTACTGCTGGTGCCTATGTTGTTGGGTCATTAGGCATTCTCCTCCTCCACAGTTTTGAGTACTAGGGTCAAGGGGGATCAATGATGCACCATTGGAGGTGTGGGCAACAGGCTCTGGATTCTCACAGCCTAACATTTGTTCTTGGGAGGATGCTGTTTTTGCCAAGTCCTATGCTGTTCTCCTCCCCTTCACTACCTGCCTCAGGATCCTCTTCATTACCCTCAAGGGCACCCTCCTTCACCTCTGTTATGGCAAAATGAATGAGAGTCTACAGATCCCAGGTCTGTTCTGGTTAAGTTAGACGCGCAGTGTTTTCCAGATCTAGTGTTGCAGACATTAAAGTGACATTAAAATTATTCCCCATTTCCCGTTGGCTTTGCTGTGGAAGGAGTTACCTTGCACTGCACTACCTTTTTTTCCACGCCATGCACAACTATTGTTATACAGTTGTGCTGCGTTGCAAATAAATGGCACTAGGTGTGCTGTGCGCTTGTGTATTTAGCGAGCCACTTATAGCGTGAACCGTTCCTTAAGGATCGGGTTCTCCCCCCTTTCCTGTGTGAGACTCATTCTACTAGATCTTTAATCGCCTCTTGGAATCTTCAGCATCAAGCAACTGTTCCTCATATTTGCTAGGCTGCTACCCAGGCTTCTCTTTATACTTTCTGTAAGTTTTACCAGGTTGACATTTCAGCCTTATCTAATGCCAGATCCTTTTGGCAACTCTTTGAGCGGCAG